CTCCACGCCCAGCGCAGAGCCCAACATGGGGCTTGATCTCATGACCCTGAGATCATAACTTGAGCCGAAATCAAGAGTTGGATGCTCTACCAATGGAGCCACCCAGGCGCCCCTTGGATTTCATTTTTAAGTAATCTCCACACCCAACATGGGGCTTGAATTTACAACCCGAGATCAAGAGTCACGTGCTCTACCAGCTGAGCCAGGCAGGCGCCCCTCTCCTCTTGCTTACAGAGCCCTTAGCATGATTCCCTGGCTGGGTGCACGTGGGGCCACCTCTGCAGGCTTTTGTCAAAATTCCCTTTGAAAATCTCTGAAATGGCGTTTATGGCCCTGAGGTTGCCATCCCACGACTGGACAGATCACTGTCACTGCAGCTGAACATCAGATAGTTAATCCTGCACGCTCTGTGAAAAGTATGTGTCCTCCCCACGGGGGAGGCGAGACACCGGCCCTGCAGTGGTTGCCTGCTCCCCGCTTCCCATCAGATACCTGACTGAGTTAATTCAGGTTGTGTGAGCACGATGGGCCATCACTACATTAGGGAGAATTTCCTAGTGATTAGACGTTTGAACCTGCTGGCCACCTGGGTTGGACATGATGGCCTCAGGTGCAGTGTGTCTCTCAGGAGCAGGTGACTGGAAAGAGGGTCATCTTGATGCTGAATGAGATGCTTTTGTTCTCACTGGCTGCATCTGTGGTCCCTCTAGGTCTGTGGGAGGCATCCGGGCCTCTCTGTATAATGCCGTCACGATTGAGGATGTTCAGAAGCTGGCGGCCTTCATGAAGAACTTTCTGGAGATGCATCAGCTATGAACACATCTTAACCAGTGTATACTCTGCCCTTGAACAGTGTATAACGTTTAAAGTAACTTGGGAATGGCGACAGAAACTTAGTGAACACGGTATTTTTCTCGAGTGAACGTGCTTATTATAGATGCCGTTTTTCAAAGAACAACAACAAAACATCCACAGCTCTGCAGAGCTGGTGGGACTTAACGGCCCCCACCTTAATTCTGACTTGAACTGGAAGTTTGTTTTTTTTTTTAATCTTCCTTTAGCTTTTCTAGCGAATTCCGGCTAACTTTGTCTTTGCTGCTACTTTTTCTAGCTAGATCTCAGTATTCAAACTTGCCTGTGGACTTAATTATGCACATTGAAGTTGCTTGTTTCTGGAGACACACAAACACAGCATGGAGGCTGGGTGGGGACCTCTGGGTGCTGAATCTTGATCCTTTCCACAGTGACAGCAGTGGGGTCTCCTGGGTTCTGCACCTGTTAATTCAGGTCCACACTGCCTGTGTGGTGAGTGTTTTGGGGTTCCAGGCTGAAGGGCAAGCTGGGGGATCTTTCTTTATCCTGTTCTTCTCATAAAGAGATAAAATTGACATACGCTATGTTCATATAGCAAAGTCTGTTTTTAATACCAAATAGTTTATATCTCTATGCAATCTGTTTCTAATAATATGGTTCTTGGTGATGCATGTAGAGACTTAAGAGAATTTGTTAGAATCCTTGACCTCACATATGATGCGTTAACCCTTTCAGTGGTGTCTCTCCCCTCCCCCTTCCCTCTTCAAAAAACTGCTTCACCAGATTTCGAAGTTCCCTGATTCCCTTTTACGTTCCTTTTAGTGGGTAGAAGGTTGGTTGGTTGCCCTTTGTTCTTTATTTTTCAGTTAGGCTGTTAAATTAAAATTCTCTGTTAAACTCCCTTCTTGTTGGTTCACTTGACAGTTCTCTTTATAGTGTTTGACCAGTGGTGCTGTGAGTTCCGGAAGATCTTTGCTGAAGAGTCTTTTCCCTCTTGTTTATCCATTGTCAGTATTTTCTCTTGACTGTGTGGAGGACATGAAAGTCCTAAAACATCTAAACCTTTGTCAATAAATTTCTTTACCTGCTATGTAGTAACGTATGTATATATGTTAAGTGACCTCTACACCCAATGTGGGGCTCGAACTTGTAACCTGGAGATCAAGAGTCGCATGCTCTACTGACTGAGCCAACCAGGTGCCCCTACTTTAACCTGCTTTTTAGACGGATTGTTCCGTTAAAAATTTTATGATGGAAAAACTTGAGTCTGAAAGTAGCATCTGATAAGGGGAATTTAGTTCCACCAAGGGTGTAAGTCTTGAGTCCTGTGCATCCGTTTTTTTTTTTTTTTTTTAAAGATTTTATTTATTTTTTTGACAGAGGGAGACACAGCGAGAGCAGGAACACAAGCAGGGGGAGTGGGAGAGGGAGAAGCAGGCTTCCTGCC